CGAGATTCTTATATCGTTGGACACACACCAGCGATAACTTTTCCGTAAGCGCGTTCTGGACCCAAAGTTATAGGTTTCTGGTTGATATGAATGTTTGCGATACATCCCACATATTGTGTCTGCGAGGTACTTCCCCTTAACCTCTTCCCAAGCATCGGATGGCCGCCGATGTAGATCGGGTGTTTGGATAGAACTCCTGCCACATTTTTACCACCGATACCTGGTGGTGCTGCTTTATGATCCACCGACAACAGCACGGAATTCTTCGATTTGATAGCTGCACAAGGAAAGTAAACAAATATTTCCACCTTTATTTTCTAGATTCATTATTCAGTTATTCTACTTAAACTTAAAATCAACTGACCTACATATATCTAATGTACTCTCTTTAGTTCATATTATTAGTTCATATGTAGAGTTATTTGTTTATAAAAAAATTAAAGTAATCAACAATTCATGAGCATGTTCAAATGGATACCCATCCAACTACATACTCTTTTCACCTATTATCTACAGTGCATTCAAATTATGATGATCCTTACCTCGAATATTATGCCAGTTACCGTCACACAAGGAGTTCGACTTCATTGGCTCGAAGGAGGTCTCTATCGAGCCTCTCGCTGTCTTCACAAGGAACTTCACGGTTCCGTTGATCATCTCCAAGACCAAGTAATCGCGTTTACCGTGGACGGACAATAAATGGCCGGAATTCGAACGTGGCTTGATGTTCATTTCGATGTCGACCGATCTGCCAACTGTGAATCTGTCCACTGAAATTACAAATTGTTATATTGATAACCGACCGACTGATAACGAGTAATTATCAATAATTATATTATATACGCCGCTCGTTCAAGACGAAGAACGAATAAGGCTTTACATTTATATCGTTACAAACGAAAAGAGAAGATAAAAACGTCACGAGTACCTGCTCTAAACAAATTGCTGCCGTTCCCAGGGAAGAAGAACAATCCTGGCTCAATCTGTTCCGAACATGGAATTACGCCCACTTTGTTTATCGGTTCACCGACCGATTGTTCGTTCACCATGAAATTGCCCAGACATCCGTTGAACGTTTCGTTTGTACCCTAAGGAGAAACACCATCGATTCGTTTTCAAAAATCGATTATTTGCCAGTAACGAGTGCGTTGACAAGCAACTTTTCATTTTCTTACAATCGTGTTGTATATCAAGCCAGTTGCGTCCTGCTGGATTCCACCCACGTAGAACGGCGGGCTCAGGTTCATGGTGTCCGAGGGTCCTTCGGAATAACCTACGACCTTCGGCTCTTTGTCCACTATCAGTTCTCCGTATTTCCCTCGCCTCTTAAACATCACGGTGTGCGGTTCATTGTCGTTCACATTCCGCTCGCTAACCAGCAACACTGGTCCCGTTCCGCAATTGAATTTGTAGTGTATCTTGAAGAATCAGAAGAAGTCGTATTTATACATCTTGAGCCTTGAATTGTTCACGATCGTCTTACATTACACATGGCATTCCCAAAGAGACGCTGACGATTAATCAATGGAAAACTGAATCGCCTCGTATATTTTTCCGAATTCGACGCCGAAACGAGACGCACGAGTTCATTAAAATTGTTTATATACAAAAGATTCCTGTTACCATGGAACGACAAATATTCAGTAGAATGAATCAGATAGTAGATCTCAAGTGTGGTTGAGAGACTTATCGGACTTATCGTCTTCCGAACGCTTTACCTTTCCATTCATGACGTACACGGCGATCAGGTACTGATTGTACGAGTCCAAAGTGTAGAAGATGATTCCTTCGTCTGCCCCTGTTTTCAGGTCGATCTGGAAATCATAGCCGTCTCTGTACCTGCCGTTCAACGATCTGTATTCCAATCTGCTGCCTCTTGCGGTGCCTGAGCAAAAATTTACGAAAAATCTCTCGTTGCCTTCTTCCATTTTCGTATAACAATATCAATGTGAATTCTTTGTGTACCGAATCTCCAGGAATTCTCTAAGTCGGGATCAACTGCCGAGTAATCATAATAATAAGGCAGACGACACTTGTCCACGTACAATGGCGTCGTTCTCTGAGTCGAAGTTGTGGGTTCAGTGGTCGTAGTGGTCTCCTGGCCACGCCCCTCGAGATTAGGCTCCTCTTCGTCCGTTTCCTTATCCACTTCTACTTCGATTACATCTGTTGGTTTCGATTCAATAACGAATACGATTATCACCGCAGATAACACCGGTAACATTCGAATCGTTATCAATAAGATCGTACTTACTGATTTGGGTGGACACTTCAACATTATCGTCTGTGCTTTCCGTAGGTAGCAACGGAGGCAGCACGTCCGGCTCTGGTTCGACTATTGGCGGTGCACCTGCACAAGGCAAAGTTACTGTTCAGATCGCCCTTAAACGGTCGACGAAAAGAATTAAGTACAGATAACAAGCGTATCCCTAGGTCAATGTATACCAAAGCAGCAAATTAAATTAGTTTCTCTTATAGATTAATTCTAAAAGCTTTCGACCCGTTGGATCGAGATTCAGGACCTTAGCTGGTCCAAATTAGCTACCTCGTTGATGCTAGCTCCAAGTATCACCGAATCGAATACCAGGGAACTTGTGAAATCTCGTGAAATCCACGGTGTTCGTGTGAACAACAGTTCATATGGAATCTAGCGTACACACCTGACGTGTCTCCGCCTTTGCATTTCCCTAAGAAAGCGTGTGGCCTCTCCGTCGTGTTCGCGAAATTGATGATGACTCCGTTCAGCGTGGTGTCCCCGATACAGCCCACGAATGGCGTCATTTCGCCGGTTGGAGGGATGCCGAACGTAGCCGACAAGCCGCCGATGTACAAGCTACCGAAAGGTATGTTCAACTCCGGCGGTTCCACGTCGGTACTGTAGTTCTTAGTGTCATCTATGTCTAGTTTCAACGAGTCCTTCGAATGAGTGGCAGTAACCACGTGCCACTCGTTGTCATTGAACTTGATGCCGGACGAGCTCGTTCTTAGCGCTTCTCCCTGACTGTTGAACACCAAGACCCCGTCGAGCAGAGACAGGAAGCTGACCGCGCCGGTTTCCGGGTCGCTCACGTAGAAGATCAAGCCGTCGTTCGCCAGTGTCTTGAACTTCAGGTTTATTTGCAGTACGGTGTCCTGCACAGTTATGTTCGGCCATTTCACGTAACCCGGTACGTTCTCTTCGAAGGACACTATGCTGGCGAACTGCGAAGAAAAATAATCGGATTAAATTGTCTGCGGCACGCTACCTGTAACAAGTTCCAACGAAATCGATAATCACCCTGACTGGACAACCGGGAATGACTCCGAACGCCTGAATGTTGCGCGTCAGGTCGACCACCGTGTCCAAGATGACGACTTCGTCGATGCAACCCTCGAAACCGTCGTTGGTCACGGGATCGTAAGGGTGCCTAGCCTTCGGCGGATACCCTCCGAAGTAGATGTGATCCGAGGAAACGAGATTCTTGTTGTTTCCTTCCGCTTTGCTGCTCACCTTGTCTACCACGTCCACCTTGAGGACCCCCATCTTCTCGAACCTGAGTGCTTCCAGGTTGTGCCAGTTTCCGTCGTTGTACTTGTTCGCGGATTTAAGCGCGGTCTCCCCCTCGCCGAGGTCGTACTGGTAGAGCACGTGGCCGTCCCTCATCTCGATGGACAAGAACTGCTTGCCCTTGCCCATCAGGTATATCAGACCGTCCTCCGTGAACGTCTTGAAGTTCAGCTTGATGCTGAACTTCTTGCTGTCGGGTGAGATCTGGAAGTTCTTCTTGCTAAGGATAGCATACCCGTGCCTATCGAACCTGTACCCGGTGCTCGGCTGGAAGTTGACCAGCTTGTCCCTCTCGACCGCCGGTTTCTGGTTGTTCTCTCCGTCGATGAAGTTCCAGAAGGACACCGGTATGTCCCCGATCACGAGCTCCTCCATCTCGCCCTCGAACGAGGACGCTGTGACGGCGTCTTGCATGTTGAACGAGGACGGGTAACCGCCCACGAACAGCTTCGAGTGCTCCTGGTCTACGTTGAATATAGCGTACGAGCCGGGCAACACGTACCCTTTCTCGTACGCCTTGTCCTTGCCTTCGCCGATATCCTCGCGTACGATCAGCTGCACGTTCCTGCCGGTCCTGTCGACGATGATCTGCCGCCAGACGTTGTCCGACACGTATTTATTGTTGATAATCTTCTCCGGGCCGGAGCCGAGGTCGATGATCAGCACCGGGTAACCGTTCTCTATCATCAACGCCATGAAGTCGTGGGTCTTCGTCCTGGGCTGTTTCTCCTCGTTGCCGAGATACAGCAGGAAACCGTTGGTGCTGTTCGTGCGGAAGTACATGGACACCTTGGTGGACGTGGCCAGGAGAGGAAGACTCTCGGGATTCTTCAGCTCCAGAGTGGTGTTCCTGTAGAACGTCAGCCCGATCTTGTACCGGTCCGCCAGTTCCCTCGCGTTCGCGATCTTGCTCTTCACTGCCTCGATCTTGGCCTGTATATCGTTCTCCTGCGCCTCCATTGCCTTCTGGCTGCCGTTCAGATCGCTTAGCATCCTCGTTATCTGAGGCAGATGCTTGTCAACCATGTCCAGCTGCTTCATCGCCTGGGAAACGTCTCGGACCGTCTCCGAAATATCCTTGGACAGTTGTTTGGTGTCCTTGAGGTCTTCCGGTATCTTGTCCACGACACCGTTCATGTTATTCACGGCGTCCTTGATGTTCCATTCGACGTCCTTCACTTGATCCATAGCCATCTTGGCCACGGTCGAAGACGGCGCCGGGATATTAGATAGAACTTTGTCGATATTGTCTAAGAGGTCCTTGTTCCGTTTGTTCTGTTCGAAGATGTAGTTCGCGTTGTTCCTCGCATTTTCCAGGTCCTCCTCCCCTTTGGTTTTGTCCGAGATGTCTGTAGCCGACTCCAGCAACCGCAGAGAATTGTTCCTCGAGTTCAGCATACGCTCCTCGACGCCGTCCAACAGATGGGTCACGTTGTTAACGGCGTCGAGGGCCTCCATGGTGGCTGCGTGTGCCGCCTCGATGGCTACTCCTATGTTCCTGTACGCGGACACAGCTTTAACGGCGTCCGTGTTCCTCGTGTCCGTCAGCAGACTATCTAGATCCAAGGATCTGTTGTAAAGATTCTGAGCGTGGCTGTAGGCTTGGTTCACCGGAGCTAGCAGGTCCACCAGCATCTGATCGTTCTGCAAAATGGTAGCGTTCAACGTCTCCGTGGGATCGTCCGCCGCTCCCTTCATCAATATTTCAACGTTCCGATCCGCGATGTTCAACGACTCGGCGGCGTCCTGGTTCAACTGCTTGCCGGCCGCGATGTCCTCGCTCGCTTCCGAGGTCACGTTCTTCACCCGATCGAAGTAGCCGGTCTCCGCGGCGATCCTGTTCTCCTGGTTCAGCCTGTCCACCATGCTGACCAGCTCCTGCGCCCTCCAGGTGATCTCGAGGAGGTCGTCAAACTTATCGGTCACGTTCGTGATCTTACTACCCATGGTCTCAGCGATAGCGGCCAGCTCGGTGACCGGCACATTGTAATCGTGCATCTCCGACACGAGAATGTTCGCCTTGTCCGCCTGGTCCGTCGCGCGGTCCCGGAAGCTCACGAACGATACCTCCTGGATCTTCTTCAAGATCTCCTGCGCCTCTTTCAGTGCGCTGTCCACCTTCGCGCCGGTGCCTAGCTCGATGTTCGTGGCCAACGATTCCACTTCACCGACCGTGGACGTCACGCGATCTATCTCCTTGATCAGGTCCGCCTCGAAGCGGTTCATGTCCTCCAGCGTGTTCTGCGCGGCCAGCTTCCACTTGTCCGCATCCTCCGTCATGAATTCGCCTTCCCGTTTCTGGTTCGCCACCTCCAACTCGAGCCATTTCACCTCCTGCTGCAGCGGCAGGAAGTTCACCTTGCTGGGGTCCAGGAGCTTCACATCCGGATAAAGATCGTTCACCGTATCGTTGATGAACTTCAATCGTTGGTTGGTGAAGTAACTCTCCGCGACCGTGTTGAAGTTTCCGATCACGGGATCCAGTCGAGTCGACAAGTCGTCGGTGACGTCCAAGAGATCCCCTGTGCAGGAGTCGCAGGCGAAGCAACCTTGGCTGGGTATTAACACGTGTCTGTAAGGACAGTGATCGCATTTCTCCCCGATCGCGCCCGGCAGACAGGTACACTGTCCGGTGGTGGTATTGCAAGAGACGCCAACGGAGTACCCAGTGTTGCATCCGCAGGACGCGCATCCCTCTGGCCCGTAATTCCAGTAGCCAGGGATGCACTGGTCGCACTTGCGACCGGTGACGCCCGGCTTGCACTTGCACTGCCCGGAGACGAGGTCGCATTGACTGCTTTCGGACGCCAGCCCACAGTCGCACGGTTTGCAGCCCTCGCAGCTGTCGTAGCCGTAGTGGTCGGGCGCGCAATAGTCGCACTTCTCGCCGATCACGTTCTCCCGACAGAAGCACTGGCCGGTGGAGCTGTCGCAGTGCTCCATTCCGCATCTCTCGCAGAGACAGCTGCGGCAATCCTTTCTCTCGATCGCGTCACCGTAGAAACCGGGCTTGCAGAGGTTGCAGGCCTCGCCGTAGGTGTTGTTCAGACACTGCAGACACTCGCCGGTCATCGAGTCGCAGGCTCCGATTTGATTGGTGTCGATGTTCCCTGAACACTCGCACGGCTTGCAGTAGTCCTCGTACACCTCTGGCTTACCGTAGTAGCCGGAAGCGCAGACTTCGCAACGAGCGCCGTAGTAGCCTTCCAAGCAGTCGCAGCTGATCTTATTGCCTTCCTCGTTCACCTCGCAACCGGTGGCAAAGTTGTTCGACGGGACGGGCAAAGGACAGGCGCAGATCAGGCAATCCGTTGGCGTGCCACCAGTGGCATTACCGTAGTAGCCTTGTTGGCAGAACTCGCAGTGGTCCCCTGTGGTACCGTCTCTGCAATCCTGCGAAAGAAACATTTCAAGTTGCATATCCGTTTGAAGGAAACTATCATTTGTTCGCCTGGAATTCTTGCATCATTTACCAAAGTATCACGCAGCTCTTACCAAACATATCCCAGTGTTCACGTCACACGTGTCCGCGTGTCCATTGCATTCACATCGGACGCAACCTCCGTGAGGTCCAGGCTGGACCCTGTAATATCCAGGCGCACACTCCTCGCAGGACAAGCCTTGATAATTCTGTGGACATTGACACTCCTCCACGCTGCTGGCTGGAATATTGTATTGACTCGAATAGAACTCCGTCGTCACGTCCAGGGTAACGTCAGACAGAGTGGCCATGATGCTCGGGCTCCAATACGTAGCCCTGATGTGCAGCCCCTGAAGATTCTCCAGGACGATCATCAGTTGCTCCCTGGTCGCGCTCAGTCTATTCTGCGTTAAGAAGTTCGTCTCGACCAGCTCCAGCGAGGCCTGGAAATACGTGAACGATGGCGGTTGCTCGTCAGCGTAGTAATAGAGCACGGTATCCTCGCTCTGCAGGATCACATCCGCTGCGCTGACCGCGTTGCCGAACGGTCCGGTGCTGTAGTGCACCGTGTAATTTAGGAATCCTCCGTAGGAGGTCAGCTTGGCACCCAAGTAAGTATCGGGCGCAGAGAAGTAGACCACCTGTCCGAAAGTGTCGTTCTCGGTCAGACTGGTTTTTATGCTAGTCCCGTTGAACGCCTGCGGATCGGAGAACAAGTACTCCACGTTCCCTTTCTCGCCCGACACAGCGAGACCCCACTTGCCGGATATGTCGGACATCTGGGACCTGTAGAGACTCGCCGAGGCGCATCTGGTAGTCTTCCCGAAGCAGAAACACTTGGTGCAACCTTCCTCGTTGCTCTCCTGGATGTTGAAAGTGCCTTCCTTGCAGACGTCGCAAGCGGACCCTTGGACGTTCGTCTTGCACAAGCACTCGGCCGTGAACTGGTCGCAGATTTCAGCGGTGGTGCCTCTGGTGTCGCAGTCGCACCGCTCGCAGTGCGGGAACTGCGAGTAACCGGCACGACACTTGTCGCACTGTCTGTCCACGACGTTCTCCTTGCACCTGCAGCTGCCGTTCGACAGGTCGCACTGGAGATCACCGTCGATCACGCCCAGAGGCGAGCAGTTGCATTCCTCGCAACCGATTATCGGATGGTACCCGTACGTCCCTACTTCGCACTGGTCGCAACGCTCGCCGGTGACCCTCTCCGGACATATGCAAGCGCCGGTCTTCGGTTCGCAGAGCGCCGTAATGGGACAGTTGCACGGCCTGCAGTTGGGGAACCCGTAGAACCCGGTCTTGCAGATCTCGCAACGTCTGCCAATGATGTTCGGCCTACAGGAACACTGTCCGCCGAACTTCTCGCACTCGAAACTCGTCGCGCCGTTGATGTCGCAGTTACAAAGCAGCGCGTGGTTGTTGTAGTTGGTCGTCAACGAGAATATCGAGTCGCGACAGAAGCCTTCGTCGGTTTTGTTCACGTGGAAGTGATTGTAGCCGCACTTCTTAAGGAACTCCTTCGTCTGATCGAACTGGATCTTCTTCAGGATCTTCTCGTTGTACTGCTCGCTGGGAATCACCAGAATGTAATCCAACCAGATCCCGTTCCCGGCATTCTCCTTGAACGTGATCACGAAGTTCTCTATCAGCTGGAACCTGACGTTGCCGTCGGCCTGCTTGACGACGCTTCGACAGCCGCTGTTGCTGGGACAATGAGGAACGGATATCTTCGCCTCGTAGAACTTCCCATTCTGCACCAGCACGTCCAACTCGTATTCCGGATAGTCCGGCTGGTAATATTGCACCACGAACGTGTAGTCGCCTGGCTGGAAGACTTTCGCGTGGATGTCGACCATCGTGTTCTTGTCGTCCAGGTATATCAGCTTCGTGGTGTTGTCGTAGATGCCGAAAGGTTTGGTCGCAGCTTCCGGTACCATCGTGGCGCTCTCGAACTCGATCTTCTTGGCGTCCGCGGCTCCCGGGAACTGTCCCTTCACGCACACTCCGTCCTTCCTCACGCAGATCGACTTGGGCATCACGTAATCCAGGGACCACTGATAATAGGGAATAGCCACGACAGAGTCGATGGCTACATTGGACGTGGGCTCTCCGGTCAAGATCAAACTGATGTAATTCGAGGGGAAATTCATGACAGCCACCCGGCCGTAGGTGTCCGTGACCACTTGTCTACAGATACTTGTATATTTGCACGGGTACAGGGTCGCTTTTCCCTTGCCGACCGTGTTCGCCTCTATCAGTAGGGTCGACGTGGTTTGTTCATCCTTGGGCGTGACGTAGGTGACCAGTAACACGTGGGGACCAGGCTTCGAGACCCTCAGGTCGAAATGTATCTCCTCCTGTTTGTCGTTGATCAACGGCACCTCGTCCCTGTCGATTTCCCGGAGGATATCCTTCTCGACGAAGTACTCGGTCAAGGGGATCCTGACGTTGTTCTCATTCAAGAATCCACCCGCTCCGTGCACGGAGTCGAACCTGGAGAGAATCGGATAACCGTAATGACGACAGAGTCCTTTGGACCCGACCTCGCAGGGAATGTTCACGTCCTGCGTCAGAATAGACGCCTCGTAGTATTCGGACGGGAGGAGGACGAAGTAATCGAGGAAGAGGCTCTTCTTGGTAGCGATCTTGAAGAACCACCGGCCTGGGTCCATCACCATCGGCTCCGGATGGTTACCGTGCGCACCGGCGACCGTCACGAACGAGGGTTTCACGGTTGGCTTGAAGATCACCTTGAACTGTTGCTCCACTCCTAACGGGTTCTCCGGCGTGATCGTGATGCTACCGAGGATCGGCTCGTTATTCGGGTTCACGTACTTGAGGACCATTCGATAAAGCGAGGACTTCTGAATGTACACTGGCAGGATGATCTCGTCCTGAAGAGCAGAGAACACCGCGTACCCCTTCCAGCTGAAGCCTGGGAAATGGTCCTCGGTGAAACCGTAACGGACGTCGCTGTTACTCGGCGTTTTGCCGTCTTCCACTTCGTATTGAAATTGGTGAAGCGTTGGGAAGTAGTGAGTTGCCAGCGGCTCGTTACAAGTTAGACCGGTGACTCGGGCTTGGCACTGACATTGACCCGTCTGCTTGTCGCAAATTGGGTTCACCGATCCACCGATGTCGCAGGCGCAGTCTGGACAGAGGAACGTGAGAACATTGATAGAATTACGGTTCAGTTAAAAGGAATTCTAAGATGATATGCTTGCTTACCCGAGCAGCCGAAGAAGTTGCTCTCTTGAAGATTGTACGTGCCGTCCACGCACTGATCGCAACTCCTTCCTGCGACCCCTCGTTTACAGATACATTGACCGTCCTTCGTGTCGCATTCGCCGATGTTGCCAATGACGCCGTGCATGTTGCAGTGACAATCTTGGAAAGTTAATGAATCGGAATTAAATTCATCGTCGATTGTACTCTCGGCTGAAGAATTTTCATAGAGATAACAGTAGAAGGAATAGGGTTCGAAGGAATGAATGGCCGCAAGGTATAAAGCTAGTTCAATGATTCGAGTCCCTTCGAAAATCTTCCCTTCTTTAAGAAGCATCATTTAACTCGCCCAAGTTTTCTGAAACCTAAACGATTACGTTTCTCGGTGGGCTCACCTTCGCAACCCTGTGGATTGTAAGGTTGCAGGTTCCAATAGAGCGGTTTGCACTCGTTACAGATCCTTCCCTCGACGCGATCCTTGCATTGACAAAGCTCACCGGCCGGTACGGAACCGCACCCCTGGAAGGTCTCGACGACACCTGCTGGGTCGCAGTTGCAACCCTCGCAGGTGGGGAAATTGTAAAAGCCTTCCTTGCACTGACTGCACCTGGCCCCATCGAAATTCTCGCGACACTGGCATTTACCTTCTCCGTCGCAGGAGGCGCCGATGGAACCATGACTGTCGCAGTTGCAGGCTGCAACGCATTAATAACAAACGTGTTCATGCTTCATTGCAAAGAAATATTTTCAACTAGGTTTAATTAGAGTTCCTAATCGTTGTATATTCTTTTAGATTCTAAAGCAAAATAGCTGAATACCTATTCCAGTGTCGTCACATTAAAGAGTTAAAACACAACCATTTACCTATGCACTCTGGATACATGTAGTACCCCGGACTGCACTGATCGCAGGTCTTCCCAGCGAAATTCGTGAGGCAAGAACATTTCCCTGTGACGTCGCAGCTAATGGACGACGAACCTATCGTGCTGCAATTGCAAGGCCTGCAATTCGGATACCCGTAATAACCGCTGATGCACTGATCGCATCTGGGACCACCGTATCCTTCATTGCAAAGACAGCTACCACTCGTTTTGTCGCAGATCCCGGGCTTGGTTCCACGCGTGTCGCAGTTGCAATCTGAAGAAACATTTTCAACGATTTATCATTGCATGCTTGTTTCTTTATTCAACTATTTTAATCCTCATTAATACGCACAGGTGCAGACGGGATAGTTGAAGTAGCCGTCTTCGCAGATGTCGCAAGTTCGGCCGCCATAGTTGTTCTTGCAGGTACAGTTACCGGAAACCGCTTCGCAAATGTCGTTCAAAGACCCCAGTGGATTGCAGTCGCAAGCTAGAAGATGAATAACGCGTTGAAAATCTATACTAGCCAGTCATTCCAGTTTCTTGTTCGAAATTAGAGTGTTCTACTCACGGGAACAATCCGGGAAATTGTAGTAGCCTTCCGCGCACAAGTTGCAGTAATGGCCGGCATAGTTGGACTTGCAGGGACAGGAGCCGTCGATCGCCTCGCAGTAATCACCGTCTGTACCATTCTCGTTGCACTGACAGGGCACGCAGTTCGGGTAACCGTAGTACCGGTGGTTACAACTGTCGCAGTCCGGTGCCTTATACTCTTTGCGACACTCGCACTTGCCCGTCTCATCCGCGCAATTCCCGGTCAAATTGAAATTATTACAGTTGCAAGCTGCACGTGGGAAGAAAAGTGACATTTCAGTTGGATAGAAATACGGACTGGAGAGGAGGAATCCATCGGATATGATCGATTCCAGAGGAAGATCGCTCACGTTGACAAACGTCGGTTGCGTTCAGTGGCTTGCCCAGGGGTCTGTAGAAGTTCGGTTGGCAGCGGTCGCAGTTGATTCCTTCCGTGTTGTGTCGGCAGTTCTGGCACACGCCTCCGCCCTCGTAGTTCCCGTGGATGTCCAAGGACAAGTGGTTCTCGTCGATTTCTGGATCGTACTTGCATTCATCCGTGTGGCCGAAACAGTTGCAGGCTGGCGCAGAAACGGCGAGTGTTAATTCTTTCAGAGGATGCCTGACAATTCTGTACGCAATCTGATAATTTTCATGCAAAACGAAATCTTTTTGTTGTACTCATTCGTCTCTCGTGTCAGTGTCGGTCTGAGGCTTAACCCTTTGCACTCGGGAGGTGACTAAAACTATAAAATCTGATATTTAACGTTGAACTTCGTATAATGCCTCAGAAAGTGGCCATTATTGGCTTAAAAGTGGCCATTACTGGCTCGCGTCGATGCCCGAGCGTTGTAAATGGACAAGTCCCCTTGTCTCTGCAGTTCTAAATCTCAGGCCAACGACACTGACGTCCGAGACGAATAGTAGATTCAAGTTTAGTACTAGATTTCTTAACGCATATTCAATTCCTAACGATTGCGAGAAGGTCCGCTTACGTTCGCAAGTGAACTTCTTCGCGGTCGTGGACTGCCGCCACTTCTTCTGCTCGAAACCTTTGCAGCAAGTCGCGCACTGAGGTCCGCAGGTGTTGTGCTGGCACCTGCAGAAGAGCTTCTTCGGCAATTTCCGGTCCAGCACGTCGCACGTGTCCGCGTGCCCGTTGCACATGCACCGGCCGCCGATGCTGATGTCTTTGATCGAGTAGAAGTACTGCAACCAAAAGGCTTTCATGTACTCTTATCTTTACGCGAAACGAACGTTAGTTTCTCCATCGAAATACGAAATTATGCTCGCCCACCATTTCGAGGACACTTACTCTCCTGGTAACCGTGGGATCCTCCCTGACCAAGGACATCAGATGGCCCAGCAGATTCTTCGTCCTGAGGAATCGGAAGCGGACGTTCGTGGCCCTCGTCCATTCCTGCAGCACCGTCGAGTTGAAGTAGTGCTTGGCGGACGGCCGATTGTTCAAAATGGAAATCGGTATCTCGCCGCCCTCCAGCGGCACGATCTGCGAGTGCTCCGTGGTACAGATCACGCTGTCGTCCCTCGTGATCGGTTTGTAGCTGTCCACGCCGAAGTAAGTCAGACAGTCGCTCGCGGTGTCGGAGAAATATTGCCACGGCGTCCACGTCTTCCCGTAGTCCGACGACTTCTCGAGCACCCAGAGTCCGGGTCTCGGGGAATTTCCCATTTTCAGGTAGAGGTACGCTACGTGGAATTCCTGGGGAAAAGACGTTCGTTTGTCAACTTTCGAAGTTAATGATTCTTATTTCACGTGGGAATCTTCGAAGGGCTAGAAGGTGATCTCTATTACTCGAATTTCGTCTGTAAAATGCCGTTCGGAGTTTCAGATTTCCGAGGATACCGAGTGAAATAGAATTAGGAATCATGGCGCTGTTAAAGTGAATTACGATGAATTGATGTTCCAGTTTCTAGGTTCTCGTGTTTGAAATATTCTGTGTTCAAAGTTGAAGAGTAGGATCTTCTCTAATTTTTAAAGAGTCATTCCTCACCCTGCATTGCGAATTTTCACGGTTCAGCCGATAAAAAAGAAATGCGAAGGAAGGGAAATACTTTCGACGTCAGACCACTCGATTTAGATTCATAGAGTGGTCTCCGTGGCCGAATGCGTTCTGCTCGGAACTCGTTTTCCGGGCTCTCGGGGACACAATATGAGAGCGCCAGGCAAAAACCGACGACTGAGAAACAGATGTGTGCTCCCAGGGCTTTCGGAAGCATTACGATCATGCCTGCGCTCCGAAATTCCCGGACACGTGGTCGGGAACGCACGGGAAGGAGCGCGGCGCGAATGAGTCCTTCTGAGAAACTGTTTAGCGAAAAGACAATAACCCTCGAGAACGCTCACCCGCGGTTTCTCGAGGCATACGAAACTTTCGCGAGATTCCTCAGCCTTATGATAACCACTAACGAGCATCCTCTCTCCGTTTAAAACGGAAATTGAGCACGTGAACATTTGTTCAAAATTCATGAAAAATATGAATACCGGAGATCATTTCCTTTGTTTAAAATTATTCCATTATCGTGAGACCGAGAACACGTTCGTTATTAATCAAAAGGCATCGGAGAAGTTCAGATTGATGAAACTGCAGAAGGGAAATCTGATAAATTGATTTATTCGCGACGTGCGTATCGGACGAGATTAAAATTCGTTGAATCGTTCGATCGCTCGAAACTGGATATATTCGTGAAATTCTTGTGTATTATATTGTTGCTATCGATGCGAACGTTTCGATCGGTTGAACGAACGAGAAGGAGCGTCCACGGGCCGCACAGTCCACCGCGCTCCCCAAAAGCCGCGTTTTCTATTGTCCTCCGGAAGCAACGCGATGATAAATCTTTCCCGCTTCGCAGGAAAACGCCTACCGTGCGATAAAGCAATTTGTTACAGATAAAACGCTTATTCCACAGTCTCATTGTTTCCTGCTGCCGTTAATTCTCCCTCTTCCCGTCTTCGACGCTCTCCTTTCTGGAGCGTTTATAACAAACCAATTCGCGACTGCCGAATCGCGGGCAAACATCCATGAAACACGACTGTATATTAATCATAAACTCTACGAACTATCTATTCTTTCAAATGCGTTTCAAATAAAATACCGTAAGAACACAGAGTTATCTAGAACAAAATGCGAAAGAAATTCGGAGTGCAAAGGGTTAAGAAAATCCGGTGCTCACCTGTCCCAGGGAGATCGTCAGGTTCACCTCGTTGTACTTCATTCCCCTGGAAAGCGGCGGCGATTGCCACCAGGTTTCCATTCCGTCGACCGCATGCTCCGGCGGATGCATCTTCTCCGGGTTTTCCGGGTCGCAGACATCGCATACCTGCGTTTACACATCAACAATGTATCATTCCTCGCTTCTTCGTCGATATTTTCAATTGCCCCGACGTAGAAAACACGCGGACTTCTAACGAAAAAGACAAGACCGCCGGTGATTTCAATGCCTGGCATTCTACTCGCGGGCTTTTCTTCGGAATTCCACTGACACGGATTCCTCGAACAAAAGCTCGACGAAGCTCGAACTTAACTCGGTCCTCGACAGAAAATTTCGCTCGACTTCCACCGAATTAGCCCGCGAAAATCTGTATTCGCATAAACATCCGCAGTCCGGTTATCGCGCGTTACTTAATCGTTACAGTAGCCAGAATCTCGAAACCGAAGCAACAACTGTATCTTGAACGTAAAATAAGATCGCGTTCGGAAGTCCTCCGTTTCGCGATGACTCAATCTAATCGGCGCTATAAATAGATCGGCGAACCGATCCGACATCTCCGGGATCGGCAGAAAAAATTCGAACCGATTCGTCGACGATGGTAATAACAGCGATGCCTATCGCGCACGGGAAACCGCGCGATAACCGCGGAAATACGCGTGGAAGTTAAAAATAATTTTCCCGCGTGAAACTCGATCGAGAGAGGGGAAAGAACAATGATTTTCCTCGACGATGCTCGTAGAATCGTCGAAAAATAGCGATGAATTAAGGGGACCACGGATTTTTGTCCCGATGAATCTTTATGGGACACTCGTGTCAGTCGGACCGCACGGAATTCGAAAAAAACGAGATGGTCAAGTGTTATCGAGAGGTCACCGTTATCAGCCGTTCCTTATCGGCCCTCTCACTTCTAGTCTACATGACGTTTTCTTTCGCCCGCGTAAATAGACACACGTAACGCCGCACGAACGGTGGCCATTGACCAGATCCTCGGCTCGCCGGCGCACAGTGCGGCCGAACGGCCGTTTTCTGGACAAAACTTAAAAAATATGAGTGATAGAAAAACATTCTTCGGACAGAAGATTGTCAGGTATAGAGCTGAACCTATGGTGATCATATTTTTTTCGCATTATGGGGACATTACGAAGTTTTTTCAATGACAATGGATACTTCGCGTTTCGATTCCAACGTGATATAAATAGAGAACCGGAATCTATTTACAGAAAATTGTTATTCTTGAAATGTTAATCACGTTGTATAGCAGCAACTATTTAGCAACATATCGATAACAAAATGAAACTGTGCGGTGGCCCGAATATTTGCATCGTTAACGTAAAATGATTATCGATGGTCTGCGGATTTCATGCACTTCCAGCGTGTTCGCTCTTCTAAACCCGCATGCTAAAAGTTCTGCACGAACTTCGGTGAGATTTCAATTATCTTTGCGGTATGATAGAACTCCTAATAGAGTACAGACATATTTAATTTAATTGAATTACAGGTTTAATTAGAAAATCAGTCGATTAATTCGTTGTTTCCTGTTTACTCCGGCGTTATGAGATCGATGATACGCTACCGAGAAATGATAAAACGATAGGAGGAAACTGATGGAAGCAATACTCGGCGTCGCGTAGCGCGTTAAACCGAGCATTAACGTTTGCAACGAGATACCAAACGAATTATGATTCTACAATGATCGTGCGTGTTGCTCGGTGAAACCGAGCGCTAATTCAGAAACAGTTTATCGCTGCGCGTCGTAGGCGACGAACGATACACTAGATCTTCCGGACTGGTTCTCAGGAAGTCCCGAAAAAAGACACCGGCCTGAATATCCTGTAGGCCGGCGGAGTCTGTCTCTTTGTCCTGATTCGCGGACTGACCGTTCTCACGTCAGTGTCCGGGGTAATTATCCTCTCGGATTACTCCGATAAACTACGCGCAACCCGACGTGCTCCAAGTCCCTTGCATTTACTCAGAATCTACTGCAAACATTGCCGTTATTAAATGCATCCTGATAAACGCGTATTCCTGCCTACTTCCGAGTCCTTCTAGGAACAGCGGAGCCCTTCGTTAACTCTGCGTTCGAGAGATTGCTCTTATTCGCCTGATTTGACTTGATACAACGAAATGATAAAGTTCAATATTTAACTTTGGCAAGACGGAATATTCGTATTTCGAAGACTGAGTCGACGGATGAAATTACTCGAACAGTTTTCTATTAATTAAGCAATTGATATATTAGCTTCATCTCTTGAAGGTTTTATATATTCCAAAGAATCCTCGTTTACAAGGGGCAATAAATGTTGAGTATTCAATTTTGCATAATACATAGAAACATCGAAATCAAATAGTTTTGTTTCTTCGTTTGTGTATTAAATTATCGTTCAGCTAGTTTCAACATCGTCTACATCCCATCGGAAAAGTGAAGACTCGTGCAAAGAGTTAATGGAATCTCCAGCTCTTCGAGCAGTGTGTAGAGAGTAAGCTTTAGAAGGCGAGAGCGTCGTGAAATGGGCATGAATGAAATCGCGCGAACAATTTTCCCTGCAACTTCATTAAAATTAAGCGGCGCTCAACGGTTACGTTTGACATCGTTGGGGTTTCAACGATGACGCGATCCCCGACACATGGCCGGCGTCGTTCGCGGGTTACTCGTTACGCGTCGATTAATGAAAGACGTTCTTTTACGTTATGATTTCATTCACGCCGCCCCGCACAAGCGTTCGCCGCGGCCTGCCCTTATCGCGTCTCCGAGATAGACGCCGACACGCGAAGAGAGAGAGAGAATAGCAAGTGACCCGATGATTGCTCCGCTCGTGACCGATATTAAAAATACTTTTCCCCGAGCGGTTCCAGTGGAACGCGAATTGGATCGATCGATTTCGTCACGATCGTGAATTTTATTCCGTTTTCCCCCGTGGTTCGGAGCGAGGGAAAGGAAGTGAGACGAGAAGGCAGGCCAGTTGTCGTGGGATTGATAAACTTTTGGACTCGAAGGACCAACCGCAGATAAAAGACGGCGTGGAACTATTCGGAACGATCTGGGGCGACCGGTCCCAGATAAATATTAAATAACTGTGCCAATCGAATGGAAGGCGAAACGAAATCGAGGAAGCCTCGTCGAAGATATTTCGCTAATTCTTCTCGAGAATTTTTCCTCGAGGATAATATATTCTCGTCGCCGATTAAACACTTAACGGAACAAGACTCGCGCGGAGGACAACGGCTTCAGATTCGTCTATGAACTCAATGAACTGTTCGTCTAGATCCAGGCAAACATTAGGTTGAGTCATAAGCAACTTCTATCTGCCGCGTACACTCTGCTGCAGTGAAAATTAATCTTTGAAAAACACTGCTCACGGAATGGCCTGATACGACTAAGCTACTGATCTTTACGCAAATATAGTTTACCGAGATATTCAAACGAGAATATCACTCGAACGTATTATGGAACTTCGCCTCTTTTTATACTGCCTTCGATACGCTGCGACCGGTAACCCTTGCGCGGTAATCTAGTATCTACTTTCTTTCCGATTCGAAGACGACCCGCGTTCCCAGAATCAAAATCAGCGCGACGAGTTTGAAATCTCGGAGCGTCGAGGATTAACGAAAGACGCGAAGCTCTAATTTACTCCATCTGAACGATTCCCGGCGGAGAATCTATTAGATAGTAACATAAATGAATTCAGCTGCGGCAATGTAAACTAATTCGAACGCGTAACTCTGAGAAGCCACTTCTGGTAAATACATTTCGATCCGACACTGTTATTCCACTGTTCCGTCAAACAAATAATACCGTTTAACTAAACGAATAATAGTATTTACGTTACGACCCAATAAATTCCCATGAAGATCCGCAGTCCGTTGGGTACCATAGGCATACAGACCTGGCCCTGTATGAGATTAATGTCCTCATGTTGGTCAGCGTTCGCGCCGACGAGCTTGCAGTAGAGCTCCGGGCCAGGGGTGTCCACACCGCACGTGGCCGACGCGACGATCTCCTTGCCCTCGGCTAGATTGAAGTAAGGCGGCGTTAGGATCTCGCCTCTCGCCCGGTGGACCAGAAGACAGGCCAGCGAAACAATTAGCAACCACCTCGCCATCCTGACAGTGGACAGAGATCGAATCCGCCACCGTCAGAATCACCTCTCCGCCTTCGTCCTCTATCCACGTCCTGTCGCCGATCCTGCCAGCCAGAAAAAAATCTTCCCTTCCTCTTCCTCTTTATCTCGATCCTGCCTCCCTATTTCTAGCCCCCTCTCTCTCTCTCTCTATTTCTCTCTTTCTCTTTCTCTCTCTCTGCGTCCTCTCCCCAAGAGAACACGACGAGATAGAAGCCCGTTCGCTGATGATGCCTGAACGGCTTTTCGGTGCAGACTGACAGGCCGGAGGTCACCGAGGACCGACAGCCTGCGATGGTAGAGGGGCGGCGCGGGTGGTGTGTGCCTAGAAGGATGGACAACGCAGCGCACGGTATACACACTTCGAAACCATATGCCATCCAGTGGCCCCTACACACGTGCGGTCATTCTATCCTGCTCCACGGGACCATTGTCTCCTTTCTCTGGGACTGAATTCGAAGGGAATAGTATATCCTGATTCGAGGCTTCGAATACTTGGAAATGTTTATTTGCTCGGAATTTAATGGTGGAGTTATGTATGTGTGTGTGTGTGTGTGTATGTTACCGTTTCGAACGTTGAGATGTAGGAGAGATGTGGATACTCTTGAGGATGTAGGGACTTGGTTTATACCGATTTGTACCGCGTCTTTCCGAGAAAGATCCCAACCAGAGTCAGCAGTGCAGATAACGTTCGGCTAGGTTTGATAGCGGCAATGTGTAAGCGTCTCGTTCGACCCCTGATAATGCTACCTGCAATACCGTAGAGACTTTGGGATAGTTTTACAGGACATTGACTAGCCGATGTTTTAACAGTAGCCACTGTTGGGCGAATCGTGTGGCGCGTAACGTGCTTACAAGTAGGCTGCCGGGGACAGCTACCCCCACCACATTCTTCAACGGACATCCCCGTCGGTGCCTCTTGTATCTTCGTCGCGCGATAAAAACAAAGCTGCAGATAGGAATATGATTGATAAATTGTTAGGTGCTCGGGTCTGTCACACCTTGGTGCAATAGCGGTCTGTGTAGAATATTTTTATTCAACAGTCCTGTTTCAATCTTACAGCCGTTGCGTTTATACTGAGCATAGATTTCACACGTTCGTGTGTTTAGCAGACTTACAATTAGGTACACTTGATTAGGTACGCATTCCGTTGATAACTACTGAGCAAGAGTACGACTAAATCGACTGCGCGGTGTACCGTTAAGCGCAGCCAGAGTTCTCAATCCTGTTTCACTCGTTTCGATCTATAGTAAATAGCGGCGAACATAATGCTAGAGCTTAATGAAAACGATATGATAAACTTTCCTAGCAACAACAGGTCCGTCGAGTCCATCCATATCGTGAACACCCTCGCTGCAAATGTACAGAGAACGTTATTGTTTATTGACTGCGCGCCGTAAGGTCGTCTATTGTGCCGTGATTAATTTGAGGATTAGTCAAGACTCGGCAGCGAAAATTTGATTGTTGACAGTCTCGCGATGTCGGCGACTTACTTAGGTTCGTGAACGCTGAAATAAACCATGTAATCGGCGACACGGTGTCCGCATTTTTGGCACGGACTATGGCGTGCAATTGGATAACCTTGCTCGAGGCGGAAATTGGCGTAGACATCGGCTATAAGCAGCAGAAAATTTCAATATTTTTCGCGCATATTTTCGATACGTTATCTGACGATTCTTATCGTTGCTGATTAGTTAACTGACCTCTAGGAACATGAGAACTACTTTTGGAATGAACTGCAGTGCAAAAGAAGCACTTATAGCAAAGTAAAGTACTGTGACTAGTATTGAGAATTTATTGATCTTATTTGAATATTTCAAGACCAAAAAGATTAGGATGTACTCCTGTATTAGGATAATAGGATATTCCAGATATGATAGTACTGAGTAGTCATTTGTGTAATTATAGTTGGTTGTCACTGTATAACTGAAACAGTTGAAAAAAATGTTGTTAACGTTTATTTATATCTTCCATTTATCATAAGTATATGTGTATTATATAAGAGACTTACCTTGTTAATTCTAACAAAAGACTAGTTAATGATATTTGATCTGCTGACTTGGCAGAGAGTAAGTTTAAAATTTGAGGGATTTTCAATACAAAACACATGCCTATCGTTATGAGACTCAAAAGGTCTGCCAATTGTTGGAGCAACATGTTCTTTAATTGTTAATTCAGCTATATCTACATTTGCAGTTTTACCTTAAATTACACTTATAATAAATAATGTACTGTTTATATATTTACCACGCAACACAACTTACGTATTATGAGAATATTCAAATTTGAACGGATTCATTAACAATATTACATTCACTTTGTTTTAACGTATTTATTGGAATTTAACATTTTTTTAACAGATCGTTTAAACAATTATTAATGTCACACGTTCTCACCGTGGCGTAGTAGAATAAATAAATCTAAATTTAGAATGTCAGTGTTTTAATACAACTTTATCAGCTTTCGATGCAAATCTTTTTACAGTGTGCTTGCGTGGGGATTGACACATCCACTAACACTGACGTATAAATGACAATGTGGGGATGTTTATATCTTACAATCTGTGTTTACAGTATGTTACGCACACCCTGACCACTGCCAGGAATATGTTTAACAGTTGCATAATCACGGTTGCAGAAAATACGTTTATTCGAGTAACAAATCGGAATTCATAATTGTCCGTTGACCAAACACATTTCCACACCACCGCAGCGCGTCATCGATGCTGTCGTGTTTATCCGCATCGGTAAACCCTCGTCTAGAGACTTCTGTATACGTTCCTGCCAACTAACGAAATGTTAACGATCATTATCTTCTCCATTCCGAAATCTCTACTAAATACTTTTTACATTGTTATTTGATCATTTGTTAAATCACTCTAAATTAATATTCCGCATTTACAATTGCTGATATCTTAGCTTTCACTAATAGTTAATTTTCCTATAATTAAGAAAATTGGAGAATGTACCTGTGGTGCCAACTACGGCGAAGTACCTAAGCTCTTCTCCAGTTAGTAACAGAAACTTGACAAAAGATGGTACCCTAATCAATTTGCGAGATGTATAACAGGTGGAAATGTGAACTACAAGATTCCGATTACAGATAAACTCACTAAATTAAAAAATAATTAATAATAAATTGGCTGCTCAATATTATATATTAGATTCCTTAATTAATATCTAATTTTTTATGAGACTCTGTAGAAAGTTGCGATGGCTCCATCTTGCGTTCACATATAGATACTAATTGGCTAGTAGCTTGAGCACTTTGCCGTAGATGGCGCCATATAAATTTCACTCGCTTCCCCTTTTAAAAAAATTAGATTGTTAACAATGAATAAAGTAACTGATAATTGTCAATATTTAGTATCAGATCAGAAATATTTTTTAGTATATTTTATTGATCATTACGCTCTTTTCTTGGTGATGTATTTAATATCCCTTACTTGTGGGATTCGATTATTATTCGTAGCCCTCTAACGGACAATTGAAAACATATTACTTTCACTGCAAAAATAACAAAATCACTTGTATACCTGTAACTAATTGAACAAATGGAAAATGAGACATTATCTCTTACCGATGAATCTTTAGTATTTAATGTGTTGTAGACATGTATGTTGGTTTAAGTTAAGAGTGCCTAAATCGGTGCCCCCGGGCACTCTAGTGACACTCCTCTAACGAAAAGTTACCCTCTCTATATCTACTTATGGTAACTTCTCTCGAGGGGAGTGTCACTAGAGTGCTCGCGGGCGCCGTTTTGGATATCCTTGATTTAAGTCAATTACTGAAATCTTGTTGTGGTAAGTAACCATAATAATGTTACAGGGAAACCAACAATACAATAATGCATTAAACGAATATTCTAATTAATTGAATCGAGTACTCGATACTTAACATTTTCATCGAAACCTACGATATATCTTTTAATAAAGTTCATTTAATTTAAACTTGAAAAAGTCTATTTCGAATTTATTTGCAATTAATATTATTTGAGGCACGAGATAATAAAATTTCCGTCGCGGTTTCGTTAATTCGAAAACGAGCGCATCAAGAGCGTAACATCATTTCGAATTGTGCAACCGCATTGGTGGCTGCAGTTTCTCCTTTCGTGAAACGCATCGTCGATCCCAGAAAGTACTCGAATGGAACTCTTCCACGGCATGACAGACGGAATGCGGGAACGGAACTGACATGGAGTCAACCGTAACGTGAGGTATCCGCGTTCTGTCTTTTAAATATCGATTTGGTTCGTCAAGCGGCCGTTATGTGACAACGATGAACCGTTTTCCCACACGCCGCTCCGTCGACGGGAATTACGTGAACGCAATTGAGCTACAAGTAACCTAGCACAAGTACGTAAAATCCAATTTTTCACTCTCTGAAACGTCAAACGTAGTCCCAGCTACTATCTACAACGCAAACATCAACCTTGCCGGGACGTTAAAGCGCTCATCGCACGGCGTGCACTTTGGATCAAGATATTTCGAACATTTCGCATAGTGGACGATTTAAAGATGAATCATACCGAGGGATATACCGATATACGTTCGTGTTTGACCAACGTGGGTTTGAATTTCATCGTGTAGCGATCTCAAGACATATTGACTTTATGTCATGTATCTCTTGACAGTGGCAAATACTTTTCTCAAGGATATTTCTTTTTCGCGATCTTCCTTACCTCGCGTGAAGTCCCGTTTCGCGAATGAGTAATGTCACGCAATTCGTAATCGGAGGTTAACCCTCAAATCACGGGCCTCCCGGGATACGGAATTCGTAGAATTTTTTGTTCGCATTCAGATTTCACGTAAACGCATCTAAAAATCGGTTTTGAAGTCCAGTTATATCTCTTCGCGACGAATTCTTTTTTATCGAGAAATAATAGTGTCAGAATGTTTTATCTGTACGAATAAATTAATAATTGCCACTTTAAAAAATGCTTGAAATCTTGGGTCTTCGGTGACCCATCCTTGATTGTACGGGGGTTAAACGTTCGAGATACGTTTAGCGCAAGGTATTTTTGTGAAAAGTGGATTTTCTTTTTCTTAATTGCGACGTAGATAATTGGTCAATTTCGATTTGAATTAATACGAGATTAATTGCGTATTTTACTTCTTCTTTTTTTTTGTGAGATTACTTTAATGCAAATTTTCTTTAAATGTGTTTGCAGTTACTTATTCATGATGGACCATGCTAAAAGTACAAGCACATATGCAAACATGAAGATCATGACACATTTGCGTATTGTCTGTAATTGTTATTTTCAGGTAAGAATCTTAGATTGATTAGAAAATGTGGATTACAGAGAATGAGAATTTCGGAAAAGACTGAAAATGGTCATTCTAATATTATGGTAATATTGTAGGGGACAATGTGGAATTTCCAAAAGTTTTGGCTGCTATAAACACTTTAGTGAACAAATAATACACAAGCGTTGAGATGGACTCTCCACCGTCATGTTCGCTAAGCGCTACTGGACCTCTCAGTGATCTTGGTAGCAGTGGAATTGGAGGGTCCATTTCTAGTGATTCTGTACGAGCGCATCTTGCGATCGAGGTATAACTTGTATCAGTGGATCATTTATAGACTGTAAATATTTATGCATTGACTTTTGTTACCTTCGAAACAAGGTAAATGTTCTACCAAACTTTGTTAAAATTTGCATAAAATCTGCAGTCAGTTCATTAACATTTATACAAAGCATTACAAGTAAATGAACTGTTTCAAGTGGGGTAAATGTTTCTATTGTTTACTTTAGATGCAAGAGAGCGATATAGAAAGCAAATCTTTGTCGCAAGATTCTTTTGATTATTCGGACGGGATGTGCGGTGAAAATTTTAACACATTAAAAAAAGGACCAGGATGGCCTGACACGGATGGGAAACTGGAAGTGGAAGTGGTTGATGTAGCTATTAAACCTCCGCCGGAGTTTCAAGACAGCCCTTCTCCTCCTAACTCGGAATCTTCGTCTGCACCAATTCTTAGCTATGCACGATTAATGAGACAGAAAGTTCCGCAGTTGATAGACGATTATGCTGAAAATTTAGTACAGTCAACGATCGAGGAAGCGTTAATAATATCTTGTAGGATATCATGGCCAGAAGGTAGAATAGCGCCTGCGACGAATCGTATTCCGGTGGTAACACGCAGTGTTCACAATGCAAAACGTTTCTGGGCGACGGATTTGTTGACTCCTTCGTCGTGTCAGGGGGCTACCACACTGATAACTCCGTACAACACTCTGAATCGTCCAAATTCACGATGTTCTCTGGCTTCTTCTCGTTTGTCCAGTTCTCATAATTCTATAAATACCTCAGGACTAAGCCATAAGGCGGACGACAGCAGTTTCATAACGTCTGCCATGTCGCACGACGTGTTGACGACCAGCGAGATCAGTGATATGTACAATGTGCCCTTCGACTCCGACATTTATACTGTACCAATAGATGTAGTTAGACCTTTGCACGACCTTCGAACACCGCAAAGGCCTAAACGTCATAGACATCACCGCAAAAGGAGAAGAAACGTGTCCGCTAGTTCCCAAAGCGAATTAGAAGCCCATATTCAACAGGCGAGGCATTATTGTGGAAAGCCCCGTGCTATTACGCATGTTATTAAATCTCAGAGACTGTTATCTGATGTATGTTGTAACGAGAGCGGAAACGGGAAGCGTCACAGTGTTCCAGGAACGTCTGGCCGGCACGGGACCCGAACATCCAACGGCCATATGCATAATATTGGCGAACCGATTCATATGACTTTACACGAAGTGCGCCAATATTTGCAAACGCTTTACTCGAGCTCCAGTGATTCTAGTGAAAATAAACTGAAACGCGATAATAAGGCTCCCATAAGTCATACACCTATACACCTTGCGATGCCAAAAGGTATTAGTGTAAATAATAACAATAGGTATAGCAACCCGCATACAGATTCGTCGACGGATATTCCAATCTCAAACAAAAATAGCAATGGACTGATTCACAATAACAATAATAATAATAACAATAATAATAATAATAATAATAGTAACGTTAAGAAACATAAAAAGAATACGTTCGTTAGTATTAAACATAAAAAGGTGAAAGAGGAACCGCACAAGGAAAAGGTCGACTCCGAGCGTGAGAAGATCAAGAAGAGTCAACGGAACTTCTCCTTGAATCTGAAGCAGACGCTGTGTAATATCTTTAGATTCAGGCGTTTGGGTTCTCCGGACCACTTTGTAGAGAAACGGAACAGCATTGTACAGGGTGAAATCGTAGAAGAGGAAGAAGGTGTCGATTCTGACCAACATGCTAATAATAATAACACTACCTCGGAGGTAGATCCCTCAGCACAAAAGCTACCTTTTTTTAAGCGTGCGTTACCGCCATTGCCGAAAAGCAATGGCCACGTAGGGAGTGTGGAGCAGGCAGAGGACGCGCTCACAACGATGGTGTCTAAAGCATGCGAAAGTCCAACATCGATACCACAGATGCCGGCACCCGCACCGAAAGTTGAGGATGAACCAGCCGAAGATACCAGTATGGACTTTGCTGCGAGTATCGAGAAAGTTAAAGATGTACGTAATTTAGGTTTCTATAGAATAACGAGTAGCTTCAGGATTTATGCATCTATAGTGTACACGATAGTCTTCAAACATAATGTAACATTTCAAAAGAAATTCAACCACAAGAATATCTATATTTGCATAAATCTCCGCGTCTCATAATAACGATACAGACACAAGGAATGGTCTTGACCTCCGGACTACACCTTGTTAGAATTAAGGTGAACTGGAAATAACGAATTATCTTTGAAACAGTACGGATGGTATTGGGGCCCAATATCCGGTGAAGCCGCCGAAAAGATACTGTCTAATGAGCCAGATGGGTCATTCATTGTGCGCGACAGTAGCGACGACCATTATATTTTCTCCTTATCGTTTAGACTTAACAGTTGCGTGCGACACGTGAGAATAGAGCATGACCAGGGTAAGTTTCTCCTACTTAAATCGTAGCTTATTCCTCAGAGATATTTCTATAGCCTATTGGACTATACTGATTTCAATAGGAAGATTTCGGACATCCTCTATTTTCTAACTATATATATATATATATTCTCCACGCGTTGCGTACAGGTAATTTCAGCTTTGGGAGTTGCACAAAATTCAAATCGCACACGATTGTCGATTTCATTGAGAACGCCGTGGAGCATTCACGCAGCGGGCGATATCTGTTTTTTCTGCACCGGCGGCCAGTGTTAGGACCAATGCGCGTGCAGCTCCTCCATCCAGTGTCAAGATTCAAGCAAGTTCAAAGCCTGCAGCACACGTGCAGGTTTGTTATTCTGAAGATGGTGCGCAGGGATCTTATTCCGACACTACCTCTGCCACGGCGGTTGATCGATTATCTGAGCACGCCGCATTATTACAGCGAGCAATTAGCAGAGCAGGATGACAGAGCCGAGTCCCCTGTCAGCTCTTCTACCGGTGAATTAGAAAAGATTTGTTTCACTCCGCAAGGCCTATCGTGAGGTACAAGCGTGTAACGTTTCGTTGGTCGTCATTGTAAAATAATTGTCGAATGTCTTAAGTATCGTATCGCTTATGGTTTAAGTATAGTGTGACGCTTTGAGAGATTCGACGCGTTTCTGCGATGGTAGTCGGTCAATTCCTTCAAAGCGTTACGGTCATTCAATTTCACGCAACTCCGTTCGTTTCACGTGTGATTCTGTCGAAGCAGTATCATTACGAAATATTCAAAATGGCCGGTTCTCATCGTATACGTTTGTATATTGATTTCACTATTGAATATACACGATATTCGTCATCTTATCGAGAAGAAGGATAATCCGTTCCACGCAGCTCGTATGTAGGATTATAAACGACGTAGTTACTTGCATAAAACTGCTAGAAGAGAGAGAGAGAGAGAGAGAGAGAGAGAAAAACAATGAGAAAAGAGAGATATAAAGACGATGTAAAATTCGTTGGGAGGAAAAGTCATTTTCAATTCAAGAATTCGCGTTCGCGTGATTCCATTAATAATGCACAGATAAATTGACGTTCGATTCAGATACCTATTGCGTTTCCCTTATGTTGTCAATAGTGATCGTGAAATGAATTCCTACTATGAATTCTACTTGTTACATTCGGTGGTTTCGGTTGCCGTATCTCGTTTTTCGAAATAACCTTACGATTCTATATAACGCGATGAACATATAATATTCGTATATATTGACGCAGCGGTCGAATAACTCCTTCTTGAGTGCCATATAACCTTACATTGCTATTCGAAATCAGGTATCGAAATGGTGAATGCATTCGCTTCCATTGAATACTCGTTAACGAATCGTCTGTTCGCCGGAGATAATTCAATTAGGTATCGGTTTACAAAGCGAACTTGAAGTCTGTAGCGCGCATGTACGAGGGAAAGTAGAGGAGCTGCTGCTGTATCGGTGTGAAGAATATTTCTTACGATCCTCTACCACTTATCTTTGGCTCCGTCGACGATCCTCCTCAACTTATTCGACCGATTCTTCTTAGCTTCACCCGCAATCCTTCAAATTCGCTCGGTAAACCTCGGTACATTGATCGCTATAAGACTCTGAAAGACGCGTTTTAAATATAGCTAAAAAGAAAAAAAAAAGAAGAAGAAGAAGAGGCAGAAACGAAGAAGAAGGGATACGAATATAGTCAGTCTATATCTTGCATTCAACGTTCCAATGTCATCATTGGGCGAGATCAACGCGAAGTCAATGAATCGTTTTTTGAAACATTGATGCACGTACAAGCAATTATGGTGGAAGGCAGTAGGATAACATTTACATTAAGATATATTCTGGCGTATATACAAAATCAGTTATTGTGTCTGTTAACCGTAGAAAGTTTTCAATGCGAATTGATTCATCCAGTTGTCGTGTCACGTTTTAAGTTTAGACGTAGCTGCCACAGACTGATTAACTTAGAAGAAATATTCAACGAACTAATGGAATCATAATGCTGTATAAGTATCTTCATCCAAGCATCGATCGTACTTTCTGGCGATTATTCGGAATTCATGTTCGGAATAATCTTCTTGGTTTCCATAGCTTTCTAACGTAGGAGACATTTTTACGTGTACATAGATTGATTTCAGTGTAATATTGAATCGCCAAGGCGTTAACGAATTCCTGACACATTTAACCGCATATATTTTCCGATTCTTCTCTTAATTTAAACTCTACGAAGAACAATCGACTTCACAATGTGCAATTACTTTTGTTTCCCTTTCCTTTTGAGCGTAACCACACAATGCGTTTCCTTTTTTGTTTCTCTTAATAGAAAATTTTAAAGTAAGATTTAATAACGATAATATTTACCCCGAGAGAGGGGGGTAACGAGAATTCTTTGTTGAAACTGATTAGCGACTGGTGCTATGTAAAATTTAATAACTTACGGAATTTTCATTCCTTGAATTTATGCAGTCGAATCGAGGCAATATCGAGGGCGTTCGTTCTTGTGCTCGGATGACCATAACAACAAATGTTAACATCTCGTGCAATGCACTAAATCGAATTTAGTTACGTTATCGTGTTAATTTCATTTACTTAATTTTATTTTGAACTTGTAACCAAGACCTGTGTCGCACGGACACGTAGGTCCGGCAAACGCTTAGGTTCTCACAAGTTGGGCTTTTATCTGCAATCGTCGTGCTAAATTCTAGCTTGTAACCGTACTAATTAAGGAACACATAGAAATTGAATGGAAAGTGTTTACAAGCAACTTCACGATTCGAGTAAACCAAAAGTGGGGGGAAAAAAGTAGATGAGGAGCTTCAGACTAAAATTTAGTGAATTATAATATGATAATATATATTTTTCTTTTTGTCCCTTTCCTGAAGAAAAGTGTGCGTGCGCGAGAGACACCACCGTTCTTCAGAAACAGAGACATCACTTTCATAAATTTTCTATTCTTTAATGTTATACAGAGCTCGCTACGAAGCGCTGGTATAAAAATAGATTTTTCAAGGATGGAGAGGTGGACGTTTTTATACGAAATGTGTACTGACTGTTGCTAGACGCGTCGATTAAATGAGACATTTCGGTTTCGTTTCGTCGTTCGGTTGCTTTGACCTGTGCAGCTTCATAAATGATGGAATAGCGAAAGCCACGTATATACATTGCTCAGAACAATTTCTCTGTTTCGTTTGCACCTTTTCCGTCAACTTTTGCAGTACTACATCACAACAACAACAAGAACAACAACCAACCAACAACAACCAACAACAACAACAACAACAACAACAACAACAAAAAGCAAATTTTATACTTAATATTCACGTGGTAGATTTTGCAATACGATTATTGATTACCGGATTGTCTGACAAGATCTAAGTCTAAGGATGAATCTAAACATATGTGAAGCATGTGCGTATAATTAATGGATAAAGGCACCATAATACCTCAGCCGCAGAGGGAGGTATATAGAGCAGAATTAGTACCATTTTATAACAAATGTATTTTACATTTAATATAAGTTGCACATACGTATTCTTGTGAAGAAGTTAGCGTTATCGGAGAAGCGTCGATGCTTAATTTAAATTACATCTTACTATTATTAATGTTAACGTTAAAAAGAAAGGGTAAACACTATGAGGATTCTATGCCAAGCGTCTTTAAGTAAACGATACGTTTAAAAAAAAAGAAAAAAAAGAAAGGGGAAAAAACGATTTTTTTGCATAATTGTGTGCAAGGAAGTGTGTCATCGAATAGTTTTGTATTTTTATAATGCTCACCGAACGGGGGCATAGCAAAAGTGTTGAATTCAATGTACACTTCTTCTACAAGAAATGTGATATTATTGTTAATGCATAAAAGCTTCTAAGTAAACTGTACATTTTCCATGTGGGAAGAAGCCAGTGACGATCAGGGGTATAAAGAAATTTTTTAAAGTGTAAGTATTCTTCTAAATAGAACACCTTTGTATCTGGTTGTGAAAATGTATGGTTCAATCACATATTTAATTAGACACGCGATCATAATCGATCTCTTGAAAAAGATGAACTTGGCATAGAGGAATAATTTCTTTGTTATATACCAAAGTTTAGAACTATATTCACTGTACAGCATTGATCTGTGGGCTCTTGATTACTTGAAATTCGTTAGAATTGAGGATACATTTGATGATGATATTTACATATCATTTAAATCACATAATTTGTATTTATTTTAAGTATTCAATTTCATTGAATGTGTTAAATGAATTCACGGGATAAGCGCGACAGAATTCTACTGTCAGAATGGTAACACAGATACAATGTTGTACTTTGTTTATAACATATTGGTACATCGGTCTTTACTATTGTTTGTTATATATAATTGACAAGTGCTAGTCATAAACATTGCATTTTAAGTTGGACTTCAGTATTGTTTACTAATAAATATCAATTTACTTCCGAACTCTTGTATTTGTTTTTTTTAACTTTTTCGAGGGTCCGGGAATAATTTTATTAGACTATAAGAAATAACTTCTAAAAATGCGCAAGCTCTTTATAATTATTCTTGTCTTAATAACAGTTAACAATTGTTTTCGTAGCTACAGATTTACATTGCATAATTTATTTATTCTAGTCTAATATAGTTTATCACCAAGTTCGATGGTTATTAGAGTGAGGAATGCACGATAATCAGAAACCTATTATAAAAGCTTTTAATTTTGTAAATACTTAAGGTAATAGAAAATATGCTTTCAAAAGTGCATTACGTTTTTTTACTGAAACGTTAAGTTAAGGTATACATTACAACAATAAAAAAAAATGAAACCCGAGTAAAACACCACAGTATGATTTAATTATTTAATACAAATTTGTTCCATTTTTCAATTCGGGGAAACGTGGATTTTATGATACACGAACATTGAATGATTCCTCCGTAAATTCTTATTTATTTATAATCAAATTCCTTACAATTTGTAATAATAAATCTAATTTTGTCACAATTCTTTGAATATATAAACTCCGTTATATCCCGTAAATATCCACATATTCAGTTAAAATATTACTCCAGTTTCATTTTTCACTGCTTAAAGATAATGTGACTCTTCGCAAATGTAACAATGTATTTTTCAACATTATAGTAAAATAATTGAGTGATAAATTGTTTAATAGATTGCTTAGTATCATTCTCATAATTGCAATTCCAATGTTTTGCACGATTTGCAATGATTCTATGCTCATGAGCACAAGAAAAAAATTGTTTTTAATTAATTTATTATGGTAAAATATATATTATGTGCAAACAAATGCATATGTATTTGATTACCCATGTTTGTACTGCAATGTTGAAAATAAAATACATTTTTTGAGATTAGTAGTAAGCCATTTTTTTTTTCTTCTAATACAATATATATTCAATGTTGCATTAAATACAACAAGTACATAAATATTGCATAAACAAGTAATTTTAAATTTGGATAAAATTTTATTACCTTAAAACGCAACATATATTTTGCACTGACTTACGTGATTCTTCAATTACAGTTCTGTTTTCATTTACATAATAAACATGTTAATTCACGGTGGAACACCAAGACTTTTCCTAACTAGTCTTTGAGCGATTCTTTCAAATTCTGAGCGATCCTCTCTCCACATTTTGGCAGCATCAACATTTGCTCCACTTTCATCATTTGGCTCTGCTAACATACTTACAACACTTAGCAATATTTTTTCTACACTTTGAACTGGACTCCACCTTTCTGCACTACTTTCATAACCCATTGGATCATCACCAGGTGCATGTAATATGCTTATGCAGACTCTACCATCTGTGTAAACTAAATGAGAATTTAATTATTGTTAGGTTCCTATAATTCTTTTAAATATAACATAATATCTTTTTATCGTCTTGATTTCATCGGTCTTACTGTTTGGATGAAACATTTCACAAGTGAACTGCATCTTTGGAGGACTCAATGGATAGTCCGGAGGGAATATTAACTTTGCTGGGAACACACCACCCTCGAAACATGTCCCTTCTGGACCCCTATAAATAAATATTACCTCTATAAGTAAAGTTATTTTTAGCATTAACAATTAAAATTATTTTTTTATGAAAATATGAACAAAGTAATAAATATTATTGTTCTTATACCAAGTATAAAATAACATACTTAATACACTATAAAAAGATCACTTACGTGATTAAAGCTTCCCATTCGAAGAAATTCTCTTCATTAATCGGGCCAGCAATAATACCTTCAGTTGGGTTTAAGGTTAACTCTGCAAATGATGCAGTTTATCTGTTACATTACTGTTCGAAATCGAGCAGAAAAAAAAATAAGGGAGAGATATGTTTGATCTAAAATCTGATTCTCACGTTTGTATTCTGCCATTAATCGTCTTAGCGCAGAACCAGCCATTGTTTTGGTCATGGGGATCAATGACGTTAATTTGTCAGAACGTCGAAAGACGTACATTAGGTTAACACGTTGAAAAGGGTCATCGACATATTCGCCTTTGGTTTCTCCTCGAAGCTGAAAAAAGAACGAAATCCGTTTTTTCACGCGATTCTGCACGACGGTCGACCCAAAGGATGCCAATTCACGATCCAAATGGCGACAGAAACACATAAATATTTAGCGGATATTATAAAAACCACTCATGCCACGTTGCGAGAAGAAGCCCGGAATTACGGTCCCGAGATTGCGTGGAAACGACACGTAACACGCAAAGATATTTTGCAGGTGCATCTTTTTTCTATAGAATTGATTTTTTATTTGTTTTCGTTCGTTCTCTTTTTATCGGTTCATACAGAATGATTCAGCTAATTCAATGAATGCTCTGTCTTAGTGTCTTTTTTCTGCAATGTCTTATTTTGATGATACTTTCAATAATACTTTTCATTTGTCTTCATACAACAAATATTTTTTTTTTAATTATCCAATGTTTTTTTTATCCGTAAATATAATTTTAAATAAATAACTATTATCCTGTATCCATATACTGCAAATGGAAAAGGAGATATCCGAGAAGTTTGTTAATTCTATTTATGTATGTTTCAGAAATATACCTTTTGTATGCATAAATTGGCAACTACATATTGGTCAGAGAATAACTTGAGTACAGAGGATACACCTATTTGCAGAGTAGATTGGATAAAGTTTCAATGTAAAGAATACTTTTTAAATGGTGGAATACAGAAATACAATGAGAGGGAAGAAGATATTAAAAAGAAGATGAATGTAAAATCTGTAGAAACTGAAGATGCTATAAATTATGATACTCATGATAGACATTTTGCAGACTCAACTAAAAAAATTACATTGTTAGATGTAGGAAGTTGTTATAATCCTTTTGGAACTTCAAGTATGTTTGAAGTAACAGCAATAGACTTGAATGGTGTGTCAGAAAATGTTTTATGTTGTGATTTTTTGAATGTTCATGTAGGAAAGGAGAAAGTCCTTTCAGTTGATAAACAAGCTCTATTGCAATTACCAGAAAGCTCATACAATGTGGTAGTATTTTCTTTGTTTTTGGAATATTTACCATGCCCAAAACAAAGATACAATTGTTGTAAAAAAGCATATGAACTTTTACAATCTAAAGGTATACTTTTTATTATAAGTCCTGATTCAAAGCATGTTGGTGCAAATGCAAAGTTTGTAAAATCTTGGAGATACATGTTAAGTAAATTAGGATTCATGAGGATAAAGTATGAGAAGTTAAAACACATACATTGTATGATCTTTAGAAAGTGTACATTTAAAGAGGTTGCAGTGAGATGGGCAAATATGCAAGTGGTACCCGAAAATGACCCTCTATATCAAGATGATGCAGCATTTTATATTCCTCAAGATTTTCGAAATTTCCAAGAAGATACAGAAGAAGAAGAACAAAAATACAACGAAGAAGAAACAACTTGCATGTTCAACGAATTACCGTTCGAAGAGGTATAATTTTTCATTTAAAAAATATTATAAAGTTTACATAATTTCTAATCATAAAATATGTAATTTGAGAAATAAATTTGTAAATTTTATAAATCTGATTTCATTGTACGAATGTTGGCGGGTAACGAATATGTTCGATGTGAACGAGACATAATCTTTGATGCCTAAGGCGGATTCTGCCTTAATTTTATTCCTATATCTTATTCCAACATGGCGGAAACTAGTAAAATTAATTTAGATCCAAATTTACTAGTAATAAATTTTCTTTTATAGAACATTTCGCGTTGCATATTTATTGATATTATTTGCTTAATATTAAACTATTTTATAGTACTCGATTATTTACTTATTAGTTCTTTATTAAACACTAAATATCATAGGGACATTTTGATTTTCTTGTAGCCCAAGGGAATCCATTTTGTCCACCATCTTGTATGTTCCTTTCTTACTTCTTTCCGTTGATGGTGCACGTGGTGAGTCTGTTTTCGACACTTAATTTCTTTATATATTGTATGTAACATTAATGTGATATCAAACTCTGTTTAATAATGGATTGTTTTATTGAAATTAACAGATGAATTGAGTAGGTTTAGTATATTGTGCAATATTTTGATTAATAAGTGAATAGGTAACCTAACAAACAAATCTTGCAGACTTGCAATAATAAAAAGACGGATGTATTTAATTATTTTGAAAAATAAAGAAGTGTTTATATTGTTTTAGACCATTCAAGATGTCGTCGCATTTGAATTGGATGATTATTCGTAATAACAATGCCTTCCTTCTTAAGAAGCGCAACATCAATAAACCATTCTCCACGGTTTGTATCGTGCTTAGTCTAATTTAATCAAAGCTACATGAATACATGTAATTCTTAAAAGGTTTAACAGTGCTTTTATATGTAATATGTAATTCTAGGAGGCAAATAACTTGACCAACCTCAGCAGCTATCGCTATTCTGGTCTAATTCACAAGAAGAGTGTTGGTGTTGTTGACACTCCCGACAAAAAGGGATTTACAGTTGTTTATAAGAAAGTCAGAGCAGTTAACAAGCCTGCAAAATCTACTGTTAAGTGTACAATGAAAGCTGGAGCTCGCCGTTCTCTGTACAAACTGAAGAGGTTACTTACAAAGAACAAGTATAGAGTGGACTTGACTAAGGTAAAACAGTTTACAAGAAGAAATACAGTTTTTATTTAGGAGTTTTTATTTTGTGTTATTCTTAAATACTTTGTTCTTGTAGGTTGCATTACGCCGTGCTAGTGCTGTATTGAGATCCCAAAAGCCTTTACCTGCTAAGAAGACCCGTACAACTAAAAAGGCTGATTAATTTGTATACATTAATAAATACACATTTTAATGTAAGCTTGTACAAGGGACATATGCTACAAAGAAGATTTGTTTGAACATTGAGTAATACAACATGGGTTTCCATATAATGAAATGATGAATGTGACAATTCTTCTTTGCAGTTATGTTCTTTTCACTTATTTTTATAACATCATTGTAAAACTATAAGTATATAAATAAGAAAAAGTACTTAAAAGGTGAGTTACTTCATGTATTGGTTCATGTCTAAAAGCATTTGAATGATTTTTTTGTTTCAATTACAGATTCTGGATGTGTACAATTTGGAACTGTTCTAAGTTACAGGTAAATTATATTTGAGATAACATTTGTGTAATTGTTGAAACGCGAATGTGATGATAATTACCACCAAGATCTATGAATGACGTGATTAGTTTTAGTATTTGCTGTCTGACATATAGCTTATCATACATATTTAGAATTAAGGTTGAGTAAAACAGAATTTTAAGTATTGATTATGTTTTTCAGATTGGGATTAACATGTTTGGACAGTCTAGTATAATTAACATAATCAGTAAGTATAATCTTCATATATACTATTTCCACTCTCTTTACAATATTTCTCATTCATGATGATACTCTTTACCACCAAGATCTATGAATGCCATGATTAGTCTTAGTATTTGCTAACTGATATGGTTCATATGAAAAACTATACTGAGGTTTATGAAGTACAATTGCTAATAGAGAAAAATTATTTCAGATGTTTCTGCCAATAAAAGATTGGTATCTGAAGTACTTGAGTGGAAGCTGTTTGGATAAAATGTGAGTGTGAACATTGTTCTTTCTTTGTTTGATTTAGATTGTTCATGATGACACTTTTTATCACCAAGATCTATGAATGTCATGATTAGTCTTAGTATTTGCTAACTGATTTGATTCATATTAGAAACTGTACTGAGGTTTGTGGAGTACAATTACTAATAAAGGAAAATTATTTCAGACGTTTCTGCTAATAAAAAATGATATCTGAAGTACTTGGGCGGAAGCTGTTCGGATAAAATGTGAGTATGGATATTATTCTTTCTTTGTTTACCTTAGATTGTTCATGATGACACTCTTTATCACCAAGATCTATGAATGCCATGATTAGTAACAGTATTTGCTAACTGATTCATGCGCTTGCAGCTTACTAATGAAATAAATAAAAACGTGCAGTTAATGGAGTCTGATTTTTTAGGTGACTGCTGGTGTATTATTTTAATTTCCAGTTCCTAGAACAGGTAATGAATTTATTTCTTTATGTTACTAAGAATTGTTATTCATGTTTAATTTATGTGATGATTCATTCACCAAGATCTATGAGTGCTATGATTTTACATTTGCTACTTCTGACAGCTTTACATTAGCACATCGCAAAGCCTTACAATTCGCAAGGAATATTATTAAACATATGTTTTTTTTATGCAGGCAACCAGTTGCTCAGAGGATGATGAAACAACCGTGTGATATTATTTATTCTTCATGTAAAGTTACGGAATAAAAGATTTTTTAATATAAAACCGTGAAGAAATTTTCTAATTCTAGCATTATGCTCATGGAATGTAAGTTGGGCAACAACGTGTAATCATATAACAATTTATACTTGCCACCATTAGTAGTAAATACGCGCCGCAGTAAAAGTGTCCTTGACGTTACAATATGTACTATTTTCTTACACTGCTGACTCATTAATTCTCTTGCTGAATTACGAAAGTGTCCGGGTACTCGGCGTACCGCATTTCGGGCCTCATGTTTGCGTAATAAACATTGCCCATTATATTCTGATGCAATTTCAACAAGGATTGTCACAGATCTACAGGAATTGGATGTTCACATAGTTAAATTAAAGGTAAACATATTGTGTAAATTAGTTCAGTAATTACACGAATTTAATAGCCAAATAGGATATGTAATTCCGAGTAAAGAAAATATATGTTCAACTGTGTGAATCAATAAACGATACAATGAGCTCGCGTGTATATATACACCGTTCCACCTGTTATTCCAGCAAAATTTCTGATACATCGGCATTGCTGGCTGGATACGATGTATAAAGTCTCTTCGACAAAGGGTTGAGGAGACGACGGAACAACGAACGCATGCTAATGCGTATTTACACAAGTAACAAGGACAAATTCTAGGTCCCGAATTTAGATCACGATAATTCCCAACCCTCATGTAATTCCTGAATAATACTCTTCAGACAATTCTCTGTTAGTCTTCCATCTCGTTAGCATTTCAAAAATACAAATTTACAAAAAAGAATATGAAAAAGTGCGTGGAATGATCGTTGACGTCAATTGAAGCTCACAAATCGCATAAAATGGCGCTTCGAAATACAATCAGAAATGATTAAAATACTGCAAAAGTGAAAGGTTCACTTATAAATAAGCAATGCTTTTTCTATTTCAAATTCACTGAACATCTATCGTTTAATTCAATCAAAAGCATATAAAATAACAGAAACAAAAGGTCTGCCATTGATAATTTCACAATTAAGAACAATGAAAGGGTTCAAGGAAGCTGGGAAGAACAGTTTCCTCGGTTTTAAACGCAAACTCGTCCGACCGTTCCGTTCCTAATTGAATTTGTCTTCAATCATTAATCGGAACGCGGCCTCGTCCTTTTATTTTTCATCCCTTTTCCTCGCGGCCGACCGATCGAAGCGAATATTCTGGTTTGGACGATGTGACGCACACGAGCAACGTCACCGAACCGATTTCATACCGGATCATAAATTTCCATCCGTCGCTATCAAGATTTGATTTTATTCGACGCGGACACGGCGATTCCGGTTATATCGATTACGTGCTTACCGGGACACATTTATATTCGCAAATTCAAATTAGCCGGCCAGCCGTTGTAATTACGTTAATTATCTACCCAGGAACCCTCTGGCCGTGAAATAGCACTGTCGGTTTCATGCTGTCCCTTTGCTTCCCTTTACTTGCGACATCTTCCGAAATAACAATGTTAGTTCTTGCTGCATCTAATCGTTACCGGTGTCATTCAGTTAATCATCGGTGAGCACGGCAGCACAGGATTTCTAATGATACATCTTGTAATATTCCTAATACTACAAGTACCAGTCGAATAACGAAATGAAGGTAAACAGGTTGGACTTAATATTAATTGTAAATATTATAACAACAGTGATAAATATACACGGCATTGGAGCCATCAAATAAAAATGCCATGCCGCCAATATGGCGTCTCTCCGTCAAGAGTTAACAGGACGACAGAAGACGAGTATCAAATCAAATTCTAGAACCGATCATTCGACCGGTCGCGGTACATTTGGTATTAATATTTACATTGACGCACGTGTCATTTCTGAACGTCACTCGGTTTCAGTTTCCAACCGGCGTGTCCCGCGTCCATCAATTTTATCGCCGAGGCACGCGGTGTCTCGCGAACAATGGGCCACTCGCTGCAAGTTACCCCGCAAACAATGAACTTTGTCAACAATTTTCACTCGCGAAAGTAAACAACCGTCTATTGACCGTTCGAATTGGCCACTCGATGCATGAAATATTCGCACATTTGTCCTAACTGTGTACCGTTTACATTTTCGATCAGGTTCGGCCGTTGACCTCTTCGGAACCGCGGAATGTCTTCGTTTTTCTATTCATCCCGAGAGCGAGCGAAGCTTCCTCGCGTCTCGCAACGCGGAACGAAGAAGTTCTTAGGATCTTGCGACAGCAAGAGTCGGCGCCTCCCCCTGGCCGCGTGGCGGTATAATTTTTACAAAAGCCCGGAACAACCCGGGGAAGAGTTTCAATTCCATGGGGCCCCGGCGACTGCATTTTTAATAGTTATTCAATATGCGCTTAATATTACATCGCGGCATTAGCATTTTATTGACGTTGGTCACGAACAGGGAGAAGCGTCCGTCCGAGGAAACTGCTTCCCCGGCCGAACTCTGGCTGGTTCGCATGTTTTATTAAAAAAACCCTCCCCCGCCGGGTTTTTGCTCGGCCAGCTAATCGAGTTGATTTCTTGTCCGGCGATCGTTTGACCATGTCCGGCCCTTGTCGATATGAATAATTTAGGGACGGGGATTAAAGGCCAAAGGGAGTTTTTAATTTGTTGGCACAGGGCACACTTTGCTAGTGTGTACAACGGAAGAAAGGCGACCGTTAAGATCGTTATACGAAACGACACAAACGATTGCGATATAGTTGCAAGATTACTCCTGAAAGCTGTAATTATCACAATTATCCAGCGTGTATACTACTCTTTAAGAAACTGAAATTTCTCAAAGAAAGTCAGAAACAACGTTCCCCGTTCCATACAGCGAAACCATAGAATCCAACGTTGAGTATCATATTCTATACAATCCAAACACACATTGAGATAAAATAATTCTACCCGTTGATTCCTGTATCACTAGTATTTAATAAAACCGAAGATTTAATCAGTGCTCCGCTAGAAATTAACGGATACACGGAGAAACCTTCGAGTGCAGTGCCGATACCCGGGATTCCGATCGCCAATGTACCCGGAGGAGAGATCTATCCGACTCCGTTCGGTGTTAAGTTACTTAACCGAACTGTATTTTGTTTTATCTGGCAGAACGGCCGTCGCGCGATTTCTATTATTCTGTAATAGGTAGATTCAGCTGCGCGATCACGTAGCGTCGAGCCTCGAGTGTTCGAAGGATAGCGTATCGCGTTCTCCTCGGTCCGTCTCTCTCCCTCCCGTTCCCTCCCCGCTCCGGTTCCACCTTCCTTTTATTACTTCTTTTCGTTCCTTTTCCTTCGCCCCTGAGGAGAGTTTAACGAGACACCACTTTTCATAATTCGAGGAAGGAACTCCATCGTTTTTCCGGCGAGGAGCGCGCGCGGGCGGGCCTCGATCGATTTTCTTAACCGTCTTTTCTCCCGTGCCTCGAAGCTGCTCTCGGCCGCAAAAGGAGGAGAATAAGGCTGCAATGACAGAAGGTTTCACGGCGGGACAGACACCGCTGCCTGCCTGCCACGAGCACTTCCAACCTTCCACGTACACGGTGATCC